ACATATAAAATAATACCAAATGGATCCTAGGAATGTAGCCAACCTTTATTTTATTATAGCTTTGATTTAATTGTGAATTTCAATAAATATACATTTTCGTTGGATCTTGTGTGTTAGGATACACTAAGGGGTTAAGGGTTTGTGGACACCCACCTATATGAACATCTCATTTTCAGACCATTGGCATTAATATGGCGTTGGCCCACCTTTGCAGCTCTAACAGCCATCTGAAAAAGCTATCCAAAAGATTTTAGAGTGTCTGTGGGAATGGATGCTATTCAGTTTAAATAGCATGTGTGAGTTCAGGTACTAATGTTGGTGGACAATAGGACTGGGCTTGCAATCAGCATTCCAGTTCGTCCCAAAGAGCATCAGTAGTGTTGAGATCAGGACTCTACAGGCCAACAGAGTTCCACCATACCAAACTCATCAAACTATATCTTTATGGACATGGCTTTGTGCACAGGAGTACAGTTATGCTGGAGCAGAAAAGGGCTTTCCTCAAACAAGCTTGGAAGTGCCATTAACAGTACACTTCACTGGAAACACCTGGACTCAATCATTTGGTGGTGTGTCCACAGAATTTTGGTTAAATAGTGTATAATATCACCTTATTACTGGGATTTCAGCTGTGGAAATTAAAAAAAAAAATGTTGCACTATGCTGACCATGTTTTACTAAAAAAATAGTTGAGCCTATAATCAATAGACAAATAATATTTGCTTGAAATTTTGCTCTTTTAGCCATGGATACACAGGAGGCACTTATAATGCAATCTGTCTCTCTTGTTATCTCTGATTGTATATTTTTTCTTATTGCATAGTGTTTCAAAAGCCTCCAGTCTGCAATAACATGTACAACTACGTTAATCTGAGAGGCAAATGCAGAGCTTTAATCTCTTTTCTTCATGCTCAATATAAAAAAATATAGCTGCGGTAATCTAAAAATATTTTCATGTAACGCATATTATTATAAGAATAATGATCTAAGCTTTGAAGGATTTATAGGTTTTATATTAATGTTACTGCACTGAAGAGCTTGTATTTTATGTATGGTAATTGAAAATATTAAATATAAGTGAAAAGTTAATGTAATAAAGCAGTGCAGTTGTTTTAGCACGTTTCTGTTATGGAGCTTTTGGGCTAACCATACATGGGCAATTCTCAGAATTTCAATTAGGCACACTATGCCTTGCATTAACACAACACGTTTTTATCTATTAAAGCACACTGTGTTGCGGCAGCCCATAAATTAGGAAGGGGCTGGCATTGCACCTTGATGCTAGAAAAACTATGCCTGCACCTTTTTTTTCAACACATTGCACCACAATGCACATATGGTTGTTAAGGTGGGCTGGCAAACTGTGTTGCGGTGCCATTCAAAATGCACAATAGTATCTGCCTTTCATTGGGATCAATGTCCACCTGAACTTGCCATGACCTTTTATATGACTTCAACAAATGTTTTATCAGAAAAGGTAATCGATAAAATAAATTGAACCGGTTATATCATTCAAACTGAAGAAATGCCGAAAAATGCATGGGCAGAGGTTGCCAAAGTAAAAGTCAAGCTTGACTTGACTTTCACAGGAAATTTTACTTTCACATTAAGCACAGTTATCCTTCCTATTACAAAAGTAACCAACTGTCCAGATGCATACTTACTTGAATCCCATGGCTGAGACTTTTTTTCAATTTTTAAATCCCAATATCTGTCCATGCCTGTGCAGTTGTTTCCCATAAACAGGATCGAGAAGCGAGAGAAGGCCGGTATGTGTTCGCTCACTTCCCGATCTACTGAGCCGACCTTTGACAGTCTCATTGTCACAGGTCGGCTAGAACTATGAGGTGAGTGAAAAGCACTCACCTCATAGTTCTCCTTTAAGCATTCAGGTGAGAGGGGGCAGGGGAGAGTTTTGTTAAGAGGTGAAAGGTAGGATAACTGTACTTTCAGTGAAAGGAAAGCTATCTATTAACTGATATGTAAACCTTAACATTGAATTGTTGGTCCAATAAATACATCATTAAAAATGTTTTGTTACATCTATTCAATTAGTGAAAAGAGAAACTGATAATCCTGCTAGAAATCTGGTCAGCCCATATGTGACTTGGGGAAAGGTTAAGCTCTTTATGAGTACACCTTGAAGGACAAAGATGATCCCTTTCAGCATACAGGGACACATTTTAACATAGTTATTGTAGTAACATAGGGGCCGGCAAGAGGCACCATGGAGCATGGTGGGGGACGCAGACCTCTGAGACAGCTGGAAGTGTGTTGAGCCAGCGTAGATGATCAGCAGAGGGTAGAAACCAAGATGGGGCACTTTTCCTTTACAGGATATTTCTGGTTGATATTTGTTTTCTTCCTGACAGGGTCGCTTTAAGGTAAACTTGTATATGAAATACTAACTTGTAATGTGCTCTGCATACAATATACTGTATACAAACTTTCTGTCTACTATGGTTTTCTCCAGCAGGATTAGTGGGCTGATTTACTAATCGAGTTGAGAATACATTGTGTGAATACTCATTTCAGTTATCCAGTTATGTGAAAATAAAATGCCTGTTTATCTATTTCATCTGCCCATGATTGGTTAATGGAAGGGAATCTTCACACAATTGTGTGAACATTCTCAAGTCCTTTAGTAAATTAGCCTCATTACTGCTAATTCACTAAAGGAGTTGAGACTCTTCACACAATAACTTGTGTGAAGAGTACCTTCAATTACCCAAATCACGTGAAAAGCAAATTCCTGTTCACTTTGAATACCTAATCAAGTGCAGATTAAATAAGTAAACAGAAATTTGCCTTTCACATGCTTTTATAATTAAAGGTAATCTTTAATCCTTAACTGAAATTTGTTATGTGAACATTCTCAAATCCTTTTGTAAGTCTCAATATGTCAACATTTAACCTTAAGATAACAATTCAGTTTTCACATGATGCTTCACAAATTAACATTTTATATATTTTTATGTTTATTCCTGGATATATTCTTTATTATAATATCTAATGTAAACTTTTCACCAAAAGCATTAAACTGTCAAAATGAATAAACCACATGAATCCAGTGGTACCAACATGTCATTTAAGCCAATATCACAAGCACCCTGGAAACCCCAAAACCTTTATTTAACTTGCATTCCTAGAATTAAAAAACATGTATTAATACTGAGTTATAATAAGTGATTGTTATACAAGTTTGTAAATTTGTAAATGGAAAATGAACACCAGTAACAGAAGAAAACTCTGCATTTCTTATTATATAGTGCCTCATTTATAAAAGTGTCTTTGGAAAGAATTGGCTTCAACATACAAAAGAAATAAAAGGAATAGACTGTGCACTCATTCCACTGTTTAAATACCTATATTTGCAGCAATCATTCACTTGCAGATAAAATCAAATTTCTCCCAGACAACAGTGTGCATTGCAGCTGCCTGCTCTCTTTGGGTATTAGGTAGTGGAGTTGCAGTGTTTTTAGATTTCATAGCTTACTAAATGCTCTCACTTGTTTAGCTGGGATTGCTTTTATAAAGTCATATAGGGTTACGCACAAAGCTGCCGCAGGCAGCCATGTGAATAACCGACCCAAAGTGAAGTGAGCCGAACACTGTTCGGCTATTCACTTCAGGCTTGTACGGCTGGTTTCAGCCGTACACCGACTGAAAACAGCCGTACACCGGCTTGCTGTGGCTGGCTTCGGGTCGGCCGAACATGCTGAGCATGTTCGGCCGACCCGAAGTGTAGAAGGAGTTCGACTCAGCCAATCCAACATCTGGATCAGCTGAACCGAACCTCCAGCAGGCTACTCGCTGCTGTTCGGCCTATTCTCATAGATGCCGAACAGCAGTGAGTGAATAGCCGAATGCCGCCGAGTGGCATTTGGCTCGGCTATTCTGCTTGGTACATCTGTGGTATCAAGCAGAATAGAAAACCAGTTAAAAAAGTAGAAAGAAAAAAACAGAAAACGATTGGGCGGAGCTAGAAAACAACTGTTTTCTATTGGCCGGGACCAGCTGTCATTACAATGAGAGCTTAGCGGAGCAGGCGGTGATATCAAAGCTGGCTCCGCTAAGCTCTCATGACAGTTCAGCGTCCCCTGGACACTAGGTAACCAGGGGACGCTGAACTGTCATTACACACTGAGATATCACGGCGGCTCTGCCAAGTTCTCACTGTAATGACAGATCAGCGTCCCCTGGTTACCTGGTTACCTTTGCTTCTGTGTTAATTGATAACTTCTTGGTGAAACTGGTCAAGCTGTAATATGTGGGTAAGCTAAGCTTAACTTAGTCTCAGATGACGTAAACATCTTTTAAATGGATATCCACCAAATAATATTGATTGAATAGTTATCTTGTCCAGTTATACAACTTCAATACAGTCAGATCCACGCATTAGTTAATGTGCTATTCTCACAGTTAAAGCCACTGAATTCAGTGGTGCATGGCAGGGTTTTTTTTTTTTTTTTACTCTTGAAGTTTTTATTTTGTTATGAGTTTTAACATCATTTTTAACATTAGTTTTTATCATTGTTAGTATGTTGTGAATGTCTGTTCCAGATTTTGTATGTTTCCCTTCACCAGCATGGCGAGGGTATTTATCTGTGGAGCAACATGCTATGATTAATAGCAGGTGTTGGCTGAAACATGAAAGAGCAATCGTGTTGATTTTATCCTGCTTTTGCTGTAATTAAAAAGGCCCATTTCAACGTTTTGTGTGTACCTGTTCTATGTTTCAACACGAGATCTGACAACTTACTTTAGTGTTTGTGTCAGATAAGTGTAATGGGAACATTCAAAATTACAGAAGGACAAAGTATTTTAATTAAGCGTTGCTCCATAAGGGTTCTTGATACAAAGAGCTTCAAAACCCATAAATTGATCCCCTGAATGTGATTGAGAGGCAGAAAGGAGAACCAACATTAAAAAATGCTGGGTGAAATTCCTGGAGTTTTGAAGCAATAACAGAGCACTGTGTTTTTTTCTTTCTTCTGCAGACTGGTCCTCCGGAGGCTGAAGATGAGCTGACGGACACCGAAGATAATGAGGAAGAAGATTTAGGCGTCATGGAAGATCAGCGCGGTGTAATCCTCCACCTTATCTCGCAGCTCAAGCTTGGAATGGATCTTACCAAGGTATGCAAAGAGGATTCTGCTTTATTGCTCCCATTCTCCAGCTAGTTTTCTCCTTTCAACTGAAATGGAGTAATTCGATAATGTTATTTCCTTGGTAACAAGATTAGAATTATTTTTATCTCGTTAGTGGTGTCAACTGAAACTGGGAACTGGATTTAACTTATTTAATTTGTGTTGACCATTATTGACTAAGTTATCTGATATCCTGTATCACTGTGTAACAGGAAGTATCACATCCTTTTATCCCACCTCACAAGGTTTATATTTATAGGGTAAATATAAAAATCTACCACCAAGATCTGTTTCTACTTACTTACACATTTCATTTTTCTTTCTATGGTAATTAAAGTTCAGTCTTAATTGTATTTATATACATATAGTGTATATTAGGGATGTCCAGATGCCACTTTTTTAAGACCAAGTACAAGTACTGGCCCTCATCTACTTGCCGATACCAATTACCGATACTTTTTCTTAAAGGGACAGGTGACATTTTTAAAAAAACCATCTGACTCACCTCTGAACTCCATGTCCACAGCTAAACTCTGTAACCCTCATTCAGAGCTCACCTTTGAGAAGTACAAGTAAATGATTATGTTCTGTTGTCTCCTGTTCTTGTGTAGCTCCAATGACACTATTATCCGGATGAACATACACACACATAAAGTTTGTATTTTAATAGTGCAAAGGTCACTTTCCCATACCTGCATGTCTAATCACTGGGATTAGTTGTTTTCAGTACAGAAACCTCAGCATTGGTAGTTTTCCCTGAAGGAATATGAGAACTGGTGTGGCTGCCGCCAGCACAAGATAAGGTAAGTATACAGCAGTTGGATTTAGTATTAAGTGTTACTGTAACAGTTAGGGTAGGTTCAGGGGTTAGGGGGTTTAATGTAACTGCTAGGGGGTTAACTTTAGAATACGTATATGGAGATACATTAAGGGTTAAAAAATTATTTAATGGGTTATGTTTAGTGTTAGAAAAGAAATTCGGAGGGCGTTGGGAAGCTGGTAACGGCTAAGGTTTAAATGTTATCAGAAAGTTAGGAATTCAAGAAGAACTTCGGGCATACATATTCTTAACCCATGTAGTGAGACTACCCCCACACTGCAAGGGTTAAGTGCTCGTTTTTATCTAGGGGCAAACAATAAAAGATATACTCACCTGAAACTCGCAGTCGGGTGGATGTTAGACCGATTCCTAAAGCCTCTCTCCCCCTTCTTTCCGGTGGTCTACGTTCATAGTATTTGAGGTTGAATAAAGACATATGTCCATCAAGTCCAACCTATTGTGTGTGTGTGTATACATCCTTGATTCATCTCGTTATTAGGAGTACTTGTACCCCTGCATATTACCGTTTCTCAGGAAATCGTCCAAAAGCTTCTTGAATGATTCCACACTATTAGCTGAAATCACTGCTTGTGGCAACGAGTTCCAGGCGCTAACCGCTCGAACTGAGAAGAACCTCCTTCGCCCCTTGTGTTTGAATTTTTTTTCTACCAGTTTTAGGTGGTGGCCTCTAGTCTTCGTTACGGAATTAATCTTAAATAGTTTGTTGCTAATGTCGCTATGACTATAGAACATTTTGTACATAAAAATCATGTCCCCCCTTAATCTCCTTACTTCCAGCGTGAACATATTTAAATTTAGTAGCCTTGTCTCATAGCTCTTGTCCTCCATCCCTTTGATGAGTTAGGTTGCCCTCTGCTGGACTCCCTCCAGCTCAAGGACATCCCTTCTGTGCACCGGTGCCCAAAGTTCCTCTGAGTCATCACGTCCTATACAGTGTATTGGACGTGAGGAGGAGAGAGTCTGTAGGGACCGTTCTAATAGCCAGCCTGCTGTGAAGTGTTTTTCCCCATAGTTCTCTTAAGGGTCAAGAGAGGACATATACTGTCAGAATGTTTATACTGCTCTGATAAACAGTTTCCTATTTATGAAAACAAGCAAGGATCTGTAATTAAGGAGATTCCCAACTTATTTCCACAAATCAAAATTAACACGAGTTCGTTATTTGCGCCAACTTGAAGACAAGATGAATACAATAGTATACAAAATATATATATTTTTATTAATTAAAAACAATCAGTGCAGAATGATAATAAAAATATAATTGGTGACAAACGAAGAATAAGGATCAAATAATTTCAATCAATTTGATAACACAGGTAATGTGTAAATTATTACCACAGGATATTCATTCAAAATATAAATGTAACCAAATAAAATAACTTTTTAAATGCAATAAGTAGCTTATCAGTAGCTCACAGAATAAGGAAACAAAAGGCAGAGCCAGCTGTGTCCGCCACCTCCCCTATCCATTCCTCCACTCAGCGCTGGAGGATCGGAGCGGGGAGGGGGGAATCCCTGCAGGGAGCCGTGAGTGACTGTCACTGCTCTCTGCAGGAAGATGATCAAGAAGTGAGCGAGCGACGGTATGTGCTCACTCACTTCCCAATCTATTGAGCCGACGTGTGACAGTTTAATTGTCACACGTGGGCTCAAACTATGAGGATGAGTGATTTTCTCCTTTTAAGAATATTTTTGCCCGGAGTTCTTCTTTAAGGCACTGTTTTAGAGGTTAGGTCAGGGGTGCCCATTAGGTAGATCGTGATCTACCAGTAGCTCTCAAAGCTGATGCTGGTAGATCATGAAGGGTGGCACCTTTATTCCATTTTGGTATATTTATTTAGCTGTGCACACTTGATTACCTATTAGCCTGAGTCTGCTGGGCCAAGCTCCCTGGCACATTTCTGGTGGATACTGGTGGTTGAAGTGTTATGTATTACATCAAAGAATATTAGTTTACATGGCCTGTTGCACTGCACTGTTTGCAAAATACAGCAAGGTGAGTCAGGAGAGAGAGCGGATAGATACAGACAGGAGAGAGGGGAGAGACAGCCAGGGGAGAGAACAAAGAGAGACTACCAGGGGAGACTGCCAGGGGAGAGAGCAAAGAGAGACTGCCAGGGGAGAGAGAGAGAGGAGAGACAGCCAGGGGAGAGAGCAAGGAGAGGCAGCCAAGAGAGCGAAGAGAGACAGCCAGGAGAGAGAGAGAGCGAGGAGAGACAGCTAGGAGAAAGAGGAGAGACAGCCAGGAGGATGAACAAGGAGAGACAGCCAGGAGAGAGAGCAAGGAGAGACAGCAAGGAGAGAGAGCAAGGAGAGACAGCCAGGAGAGCGAGTAGAGACACTCAGTAGAGAGAGAGCGAGGGTTTCTTTTTTTTCCAGTGGTAGTTCTCATGTAGCTCATCATTTGAAAAGTAGATCTTAACACAAAAAATTGTGGGGACCCCTGGGTTAGGTTAATTGTTTGGGTAGGAAGAGGGTTAGGTTTTAATAGTGGTGCTGTATTGGTAATGGAATATTTTTCGTTTAGGAAGAGTTACTTCCTGTGTTGCACTTGCTAAAAGCCCTTCTACTATTACTACCATTGGCAGGCTTCCAGAGCTACAAAACACTTTTACTGGTACCTACTTATACACTTGTAATATAGGTCTGCATGTGAGAGCAGACAATACCAATTTAGCACTCACCCTTGGGTCTACACATTTGTTAACCTTGAACACAGTCTTACTTCTGTGCTGCATATTAAACAGACCACCATACTGTTTGCCTAGAATGGATTTATCTGTTTGATGTAAAAGGAGATACTTGAAAACCGCTACAGTCTATGCCAGAAAGTAAAGCATTAATGCAGCAACGCCTCTTTAACATTTCTAAATGAGCCTGAAAAGCCTATATCTATAGATTTGAAAAACTTCAACATAAAAGAAGCCCCTTTAAAAATATTTTCATGTACTTAAGCAATCCACAATCTAGTTTTAGCACAGGGCAAGTTGGAAAGACAAGAAATCCATCTAATGTTATGGATTCATATCCCTTTACTAGAAAACTTAAAGCGCTGAAAAGCTTTCAGAGAAGCAATTCACCTTTGCATAGTCAAAAGGCTCTTTCACTGAGTCTTTTAAAATGAAAGACACGTCTTCTCTACTCTAAGTAATGGCCAAAAAACTGAATACATCTTTTTATGGCACTTTCCCCTCATATATGTTGACTTTGCTGATCTTTAATTTTGAAAATACTAGTTGTCATGTTGGTGCTTTATAAGTCACTAAAATGGAACATGTATGGATATAAGGAATTCTGACACGTTTCTGAAATACATATACTACACACTTGTTCTGGGTCTGTGTTTCAGAATGATTGAAGGCAGCCACAGCCATACAACTAGCATTTTTTGGAAGGAGGCAAGCAATAGTCACCTCCATTTTTACATGCATTAAATAGACACTGACATTTTTCCCATTCAGTGCAATGTAACAGTATCTCCTGGTAGGCCACCCCCCAGCACTGTATTCTCATTGATCCACACTCCCTCACCACTTCCCTGCACTTGCAGAGCCTTTGCTCCATTGCTGTAATGGGAGAGGTGATCAGAGAACTTGGATTGGTGTGGGGAGGTGGGATATCAGAACACACTGTAATTTTGCCCTGAATATGGACTTGGGTAGAGTGGAGAGACAGGATCTGGTACTCAAGTGCACAGTGACCTCTACGATACATATGCTTATATGTGGTCTATTAATGTTAATAGGTGTTCTGGGTATTTTGCAATTAAAAGCTACCCAGATTCACATATTTCAACATGTACACACTACACTGTACCCTCTGCAGCTTCCACCTCCATCCGTAATACATGGAAGACTCACAGCTCAAGGTATGGGGTATCTAGGTTCAATGCCAGTTGCTAACCATGCTTTTAAAACATTATCGGAAATGCAATCACTGTAATCTCAGTGTATTCCTGCTCCATTGTATGTACTTCTGTCATATGTATTGTGACGGACCGCGTACCTTACTTGCAGGAGCAGCTACACGGTCTGCATCTCCGTCGGATGCAGACCGCAGAGCTGCTTTTCTCACCGTCTGCACTCGGATCCTTTCGGCTGGAGCTCAGTTCTGAATGCCGGCCGACCGCATGTAATGGTATGTGATA